CGAAGAACTTGTACGTCGCCGTCGCCACGGCGAGGACGTCGCCGGGCGCGAGGACCGCGTCGAGCTTGGTTCGGACCTCGTCCTCGTAGGTCCGGCACCGGTCGGAGAGCTCGTCGCCGTCGTGGCCAAAGTAGGCCATGACCGCGGCGTTGAACGCCCGCGAGGAGTAGCCGCAGCCGTGGCCGACGGTCATGGCCCGGAGCTGCAGCGACGACCCCGCGAGCGCCGCCTGCGCGGCCGGCGCGATCGCGTTGGCGTGCGAGTCGCCGAGAAGATAGAACGCGCGGCCGGTCTCCGCGGACCTTCCGGGGTCGAGGCAGGGCCCCGCGAGGGCCGCGATGTCGCCCGTCGACGGATCCGTGAGCTCGCTGCACCTACGATCGTGTGCCGGTGAGCCGCGAAGCGTCGCGGCCGCGGGACGCCGGGTCGCGCTCGCTCCGCGCCTGGTACGACCCGAAGCGGACGCCCGCGGCGATCTCGGGCTGGGGACTTTGGAAGGCGCCGCAGGCGGGGCCGTCGCGGCGAGGGATGGCGCAGTCCGCGAGGTTCCGGGCGCCCGGCGCGCAGTAGTCCGCGGCGCAGGCGCAGGTCCCGTTGTACGCGAAGGCGTAGTAGGGATACGCGTCGCGGCCGCCGGAGCTTCGGCCGTAGGCGCCCGCGGCGGCGGCGGCCGTCGCGGTGGCGGCGGCGGCGAGGGCCGCGCACGCGGCGCCGGCGAGCCACCTCGTCCTCAGGTTTCGGAGCCCGGAGACGGCCCGTTCGAGCGTCGCGTAGGACGCCGCCGCGGCGGGGAGCGAGCCGAAGGCGCACGCGCACGCGGCCGCGGCGATTGGCGCGTCCGCGTAGCGGCAAATCGTGAGGATGGGCCAGTGCCAGAGGTAGATGCCGTAGCTGAGCTTGCCCAGCCGCGCGCACCGCGCGAGGCTCGAACCGCAGCGCCCGCGCGCCTTCCCCGCGGCGCCCGCGGCGAGGAACGCCGCCGAGCCGGCGACGGCGAGGCAGGCGCCCGGGAAGGGCCAGCCGCGCCCCGGTCGCGAAAGCACGCCGGCGAGGACGAGCAGCAGGCCCGCGGCCGCGTCGACGACCGCGCCCGCGCGGTCGAGGCGCGCGAGGAGCGCGTCGCGGCGGTAGCGCGGCGACTCGAGCGCGTGCCACGCGAGCGCGCCCGCGCCGAGCTCCCAGAAGCGCGCCGGCATGAGGTAGAAGGCCATCGACGCGTCCGCCGTCGCCGCGTAGGCCGCGGACGCGACGACGAGCACGAGGAGCGGCCAGAACCGCCCGCGCGACGCGAAGGCGATGAGCGGGAAGATCACGTAGAACTGCTCCTCGACGCCGAGGGACCACGTGTGCATGAAGGGGTTGCGGTCGAGGCGGTGCGGCGCGCGGTCCGCGTCGCCGTAGCTCGTGAAGTAGCCGCCGGCGTCGTCGGTGACGCCGCCCGTCGCCTCGACCTCGCGCTTCTCGTCGCGCTCCGCTACGGAGAGCAAAAAGACGTTCGCGCCGCCCACCAGGCCCAGGAGACCCGTGTTGAAGTACTCGCCGAGCCGCGGCTCGCCCCTCCCGACGGCGGCGAGCGCGACCGCGCCCGCGGCCGTCGCGACGGCCAGCGCCGGCGCGAGGCGGCCCACGCGCCGCGCGTAGAATTCGCCGAGGAACGCTCGAACATCGCGGTCCTTCCGCAGCTTCCGGTCGACGGACGCGGCGACGACGAAGCCGGAGATGACGAAGAACACGTCGACGCCCGCGAAGCCGGCCGGGTACGCCGCCTCGTCGATGTGGAAGGCGACGACCGCCGCGACGGCCGCGGCGCGGAGGCCGTCGATGTCCGCGCGGTAGCCACCGTCGTCCGGCGGCGCGGCCGCGCCCGCCGGCGCCGCGATCTCCAGGGGCGTCCCGACGGCGGCCTCGTTCGCCAGCGGCGAGGGCGTGTGCGCTTCGTCGTCGGCCAGCGGCGCCACCTCCTCCGGCGAGGCGACGTCGCGCGTCGCCGGCGCCGTCGTCGGCAGAGCGTCATGCCCGAGGCGCAAAAGCATTCAGGCTGCCATCGATGTGGATGCCGCGATGTGGATGCCTCTTCAACGGCTACCTTGAAGATGTCGATGCAGTCTCGAGCCTGAGGCGCGCGACGATGGTCAGCGCTTC